CAAGTGAACATATGCAACCAAAGAGATGCAAAGTAATTACCTGTTGTCTCCAGTATCATTTCAGCAGACAGATTCTTAGACAGCATTGTGGATTGCTCAAACAAACGTTGCGAAACATTTCCGGAGACGATCTTCATTGCGAAATCGGTGACAATGCTTCCGATTCTTCAGTGAAAAACAAATAGATTCCTTTGTAACATTTTCCAAACACATCCATGTACATATTCTGCTTATTACTGTACTAAAAAAAGTACCTGAAGCCTTCTATTTTCAGAGAGTCAAATCCTCTTATTTCACTGTAAAAAGCTTTCATCTAAAAATAAATGAACTGGATCAAGTCATGGCTTTGTAAAAGGTATCAAATGAAAACATTTCCTGTTAATTTTATTAGAATGTATTACCAATTCCAACAGGTCATCATGACATTTACGATAACCTGGTGACGTCTTAGAGGTCAGACAGTCTTGATACGTGGAATCTTTCATTCTGAGTTCCCCTGTGATGCCAACTATTAAAACATAAATGTTAGTGGTTTTTCAGTTTCTTTTTTTGTTTTGGGAAAGCAAACAAAACAGCAAAAGTCCAACATGCCTGCAGAGCTTAAAATGCACGTGTGAACCGATGTTACCGGGAGGACACAAGTATCCTGATCGAGCCTCTTCTGACAAACTTCATCACTCCATCTGTGGCCTTCTCTGCACTTACACAATTTGTTGGAGGTGTCATTCTGCGTACACTCTTATTAGGGGAGACAAAAACATAATAAAGTAAAATAAGAAAAGACAAGATGCAATAATTGAATAATTTGGATTAAATCAGACTTCAGAATCTATTTCTGTTTTACCTGTTGTAATTTTAACATCCTCGATGTTCAGCTTGTCATCACTCACTGGAAAGTTTAGTTTTCCAGTGATATCTTCCAGGGCACTTTTGTCTATTGTCATTTTAGCGTAATACATTTGGGTTGAGCGAGCTGAAACATACAGAAGAGACAGTGAAACCTTAGAAACACTATGATGCTTAAGGAAAAGGACCGACCCTGTCACACCTTGCATTTCTGTAGCATATGAGGAGCCACATCTCAAATGGAAACTGATATATCAGGATATGTTTCTGAGTTAAAGTAAAGCAAGATTTCACATTTTTTTGCACTAAATTACCTGGCAATTGATGCAAAATACTGTATATACCAAACACATGCAGCATGTGACGCTCTGATAAGACTGCTTCTCTAATGTTAAAGGAATAGTACACCCAAAACATGATTAGCCTTCATTTTCTACTCACCCCCATGCTGAACAACACTCTGGAGTACTTTTTTGATATCT